TTGAGAAGTAGCTGGCTCCTTGGAGTTGATCGAAGAGGTCATCTATTCATGGAAGAGGATATCGGTTCTTTACGGTCAACTTGTTCAGCTCACGGTAGTCGTTACACATCCGGAAGGATCCATCTTTCTTCTTGACAAACAATACCGGAGCTCCCCAGGGTGAGGAACTCAGTCTGATGAACCCTTTACTGAGTAGCTCATTGAGTTGGCTGGATAACTCCTTCATCTCTGTCGGAGCTAAGCGATACGGAGACTTTGCTACAGGGGTAGCTCAGGAATTAGGTCAATGTGAAATTCGACCTGACGTTCGGGAGGAATTCCTGGAAGCTCTTCTGGAAAGTTACAGACTTCGGGGATGTTCGCGAGGTCTTTAATTTCCTTTTTCTCATCGATTACATAGGCTAGGAACGCTTGGCATTCCTTTCGTAAGAGTTTCTGAGCTCTGATGCTAGAAATGATACGAAGGTTGGAACTAAGTTTATCGCCATAGATTATGAGTGTTTGACCCGTGGGAAGGTTGAGACGGATGTCATAGCAAAGGATATCAGCATGATTGGGACTCAACCAATCCATGCCTATGATAACACCAAAGCTCTTAATGGAAACTGGCATAAGATCGATGGGAAATGAATGATCGTTCAGGGTAAGGGTACAACCTATGAATACATCGCTAGCGCTTTCTTTCTCACTGTTAGCCATCTCGATGGTAAACGTTTTAGTTAGATGTTGGGGATTATGTTTGAATGCATGATAAACAAAACTTCTTTCGTCACCCGAATCAAAAAGAACACTAGCATAAAAGTTGTCGAGAAGGAACGTACCCGAAACAACAGTGGGATCGGCGAATGCCTCCTCCCGTCCCATGAATAGGACTCTCCCGGTGCTATCAACGGCTGCCTTCTTGGGGCAGCTTCTTTTGATATGTACAACTTCTCCACAATTGTAGCAGGCTTGACCAACACCTGCTCCAGAAGATTGATTTGTTGATTGGACTGGTATGTTACAGAATCTGATCGTATGCCCCTTTCTACCACAGTTGGTGCATCTTAAGTCACGACAAGGGCCGGGGTTATGGTGGTACTTGCACTTTTCACATTGAGGAAGGCTACCAGCATACTTACTAGTAGGTATTTGAGTTGTGGATCCCACAACAGAAGCAAGAATAATAGGGGTAGTAGCAGCATGGACTGCTACAGTCTGCTGTTTCTTCGAAGATCCTTGAAACGGTTGGTCTCTCTTCTTCTTCCAAAACTTCCTTTTCTCACCACTATTCTTGGTCGGTTCATGGGTGGCGGTTGTTTCCTCAACGTCATCACTGTGGTCAATTAGGGTCTGGGCTAAATTCTTTGCACTATCATACGTATCCGGCCGTGCAGCTAAGACGTTTCCTTTTGTTGGTTGGGTTCGCCCCCAAATAAATTTCTCTATCTTCTTACTCTCCGGGGTAGCCAATCTCGGACAGAGTAGTGCTAGGTCATCAAACCTTGAAGTGTATGAGGCAATACCCGAACACTTCATCTTCAGGTTCCAAAGCTCGTGCTCCAACTTCTGCATTTCGCCCCGAGGGCAATACTCGGCTAGAAGGAGTTCTTTCATGGCTTCCCATCCCATGGAATTAGCTACCGCTAGGATCAATGATTTGACTCGACCGTTCCACCAAGTCAGGGCTTTGTCGCTGAAGGTTCAAGCTGCGAACTTTACTTTATCAGACTCCGAACATGCACAGATTTCGAATATGGATTCGATTTTCTCAAACCATCGACTGAGGGAAATGACACCTCCAGTGCCATCGTAGGATGTGGGTTTCTCACTCATGAAGTCTTTATAGGAACCCCCTTTTCGATGTCCCTGGCTATCTTCTAGGTTTTGGGTTTGGATACCACCTCCCGAACCACTGGAACCACCGGTGTTTAGATGAGACATAGCAGCTGCTACTGCGGTAGTAATAGCTGCCTGGAATATTACTGGGTCAAATAGAAAAGGAGTTGGTGGCGGAGGATTGTTGGCCTTGGAGTTGGGTCTCTTTCTTGGAGGCATCTTGATCTAATAAGGTCACGAAATAGATGATGATAAGTTCTCCAAATTGAATCGAATGATTATGACAGTTATATATCCTGAATAAGCGATAAAGCAGGAAAGAGTTATCAGAACAGATAATTTATCACTAAGGAATGATCAGGAAGCGACACTCGACTGAGGATATCTGTTAAGGATTGGCTCGAGAAATACTCCCATAGTATTTCATGGTTCATTATGACACTGGTTCGATGCTTTTGGTATTTAGGTAAGTTTAGCCATGTCGTACACCACAGTCACTCTCAAGCACATGTTGACCATGTATCGAATGAATATAGTTGGCCAGGCCATATTGATCCTAGACACGACTACATAACTGCCCAGGTTTAACCGTAGTACACAACACCCATTTACTTATGTTTTGTTCTACTTGTACTTATGGATCTCAACGGTTCGGTATATTTATATACTTTTGAAAATACTCATACTTTGAAGTATACTTTTAGTTCAGAGAACTTAGGCCCCTTAGTGTTTATAGTTTTATACCATGTAAGGTTTGGTATACTTTATTCACTATAAACAAGGACTCTGATACCAATCTGTCACACCCCGAAAACCGAAGGCGGAAACATTTCCGGGGCGGACTCCACGTTGTGTATCAAATCTGATGCACATAGTAAGTAAAGTAAAATGACCATTACATTACATATGGAAAAGTTTACATTTGTAAAGTTATATAAGTGATACATAGTATATATATGAACAAAATGAGACGACTCTTCTACGCACTCCATCTTCGCCCAAGTGGATCATCGGGTACCTGTCTAACGTGGACCTAAGAATACAAGCAGTTTGAAAATCAGCATATAGCTGGTGAGTTCATAAGCGGTTTTGTTTTCTGAAAATGTACATGTTCCTTTTTGTTTCTGTTTCTGAAAAGTTACACACCCAGAAAATCCCGTATTTTCTGAAAAGTTGGTTATCAAATCCAAAATGTAATGTAAAAGACATATACTGAAAACATGTTTACCCTTGTGAAAGTATTACCCCAGGAAAATCCTATATTTTCCTGAATGTTGGTTACCAAATGTGAAAGTTGCATACTGAAAACCTGGTTGTCCTTGTGAATTGTATTAGTTTTAACACGTATATAAAACTAATATGTGTAAATCATAGTTTCTTGTTCATTATTACCTTTTAGTAAATCTCTGTTATTCAAAGTGCGAGTTCCATAACCATATAATAAGACTAAATATGGCAATAAGTTGTCCATATACCCTTATAAATCTCGTTACCCTGAACCTTTCGGTTTGGCCGTAGCTAGCGGCCATGTGTGGGGTAGTCAGCCTCGTATAGATCTATACACTCAAGTCACGCTCTCTAAATCCCAGAGATTCTGGTTACGGGGGCGGTCCTCCACTCGCGTAATCTCTTGGTGGAGTGCTACTGAGGAAATGTCTCCAATTTATGGGAATAACAAACTTACAGGTAATAATATGGAAAATATTGTTATGAAAGATGATCCTCCACTCATGTATTTCTGAGGAGTGTTACCGAGGACAAAACGATGTACTAGGTTTCATATTTCAAGTTCAAAAGTTATGCTTTTAACTGATACGATGTGGAAAACCATTTGTGAAAATATGAAATGCAACTTTATATAATGTTTTTCACAAATAATACGATAGTATGTTCCACAAGTTCAAACTGTTATCTGTTATGATTCTTGGTGTTAAAAGCATATAAATTTATGGAAAGCAACACATGTAAGAACAAGTTTAAAGAACAAATATTTCTTATGCTTTGCTTGTATTCCCCCCCCCCCCTGAAAACAGTGAAAAATCGTGAAAAAGGGTAGGGGTATGAACTCACCGCTTAATGTAGGGTTCGAGTGTCAACGGATGCCCTGAACGTCTATGGCCCCTATTATTCATGCGACGACACATAGATGAGTTAGAATTAATGTGTTTCATGACTAAACATGATTGGAAAACATCCTTAGAGCTTGGAATTACTAAGAATAAGTGCCCTAGGATCCAGACTTAATGATTTATGCAAGTTTAGGGCCAAATGTGATCATTAAAGTGAGTGTATGGTCTTGAAAGTAAGTGTGCGGCTGGGGTGTGCGGCCAGGAGTGTGTGTGAGGCAGCATACAAGAGTGTGCGGCCGTACAGAGTGTGTGTGCGGCTATACACAGGGGTGTGCGGCCGTACACACCTTATTTGAGTCCATATGATGATTTTTGAAGTGTTTGCTCTTCACACTTAGGAGATTTGAAGGTATGCTGCCCCCATATGAAGGTGTGCGGCCGCACACCTTCAAGGGATGATGAATATGATAAGTTTTAAGCTTGGGATTCAAGTGTTTACCACTATACTTAGCTTGAAGATGGAGTAGATCACAATTTGGAAGCTTTCCAAATGTTCTTGGTTGATGATTTTAGAGAGAGAAAGTAGAGAGTGAGACGAGAAACATCCAAATGAACGAATGAAGGGGTATCCATCCATATAAGGGTTTGAGTGTGAGGTTGAGGGTGTGTGCGGTTGGGTGTGTGGCCGCACATACCTTATTTGGTGTGTTTGGTCCGATTTTGTCATACTTAAGCACTTTCCAACCCTTCCTAGGACTTATATCCAAGATACACTAAGTCTAGAGCACCCATATGGAACCACAAGATGTAACAAAAGATAATGAACTCAAGTTTTAGTGCTGAACATAGATCAATTACATGGCTAGAAGTTTCGGGTTGTCACAAATAGCTGGGGTGGGGGGGGGGGGGGAATGATATCCTAAAAAAATTAAAAAGCCCGCCTCCCTTTTTCATCCTTTCCCTCTTTGCCCTAATTATCAACGTCGATCAAGCACGCCACCAACCCGTACTCCTTTAACGTGTTCTAATTTCTTACCGTATCCAGGTTAAAATCAACCATTACAGCAGAGCATCTTCTTGGAACTTTGAAGCCACCACTTCTTGGAACTTTGAATCCGCTTTGTCGAATAGAGTTTGAGCTTCTTCACTTGTTACGGTTTCTTCCAAAGCTTTGGAACACAATTCCATTCCGATCTCGTGTAAGTCAATATGAGCATCTGGGTCGATTCCAATGTGGGTTCGGGAATAACTGATTGAATTCAAACAACCAATCGTCCATTTCAACTTCTTTCAACTCTAGATCATCAGGTATTTTTTGGCTACCTTTTCCGGTTTTTTGTTCACTTTTGAAATCGGAATGGGACCCATTGTTTTCTACTTCAATACTCTCAATCTCAACCAGCTTTTTTTCTTCCACTTCTTCTAACAATGGTGGCTCCTGCTCAGGGGTAATCTCGACAATAAGCAATTTCAAAACCCCAGACTTTGTTTTTAAGTAGTTTCATAGTATGAAGCATCTTCCTATTGAAATGGAATACGTTAATCTACCTTGGTTGAAATAGGATGACACTGATGTTGTTCCTTCGACTCCAATAATATAGACTCCAAAACTGTGGGACCCATCTCATGTAATTAAATTATTCATCATCTCTTGTTAGTTTGTGTAAAACACATGAATCACCTTTTTTAAATGTTCAACCCTGTACCACTGAATTTTCAACTTTGGATTGTATGGTGCAGGATTTGGAATTGATCCAAGAACAACAGGGCAACAGCAGCAGCCATGGAAGTTGGGACCCACCTCTACATAATAAAAGTGTTGATTCAATGAATAGAAGGGAAAGCAAAAGCCATGATGGATGTTTGGACATGAACACGTATTTGGAGCTTGAGAAGAATGAACATACCATGTTTGATAGGTGTTGTTTGATAGTTGATGTTAAACTTTTATCTTTTATTATCCATTTGGTAACTTTCTTCCTTTCCAATATGCAGGATTTTCAAGAATTACATCCCCTATCTATTATAGGGGAAGAAAATCAAGGATGATTTCCTTAACACTTCAGTTCAAGATTTGGTAACTTACATGAATCCAGTGTTTCTAGCTTACATATAAGGAACTGACATCTTAGTTTTTCCAAATTAAATTTTGTGTATTACAAGGTGTTTATCAGCCTTCACTTTTTCATTTAGAACAAGATGTTCTAGTTTTTCCAAATTAAATTTTGTAATATCATTTTTTTAGTTTTATTTTATTTATTTTTATTTATTTATTTATAATTTAGGAGTTGTTTGAACATCAGAGTCAAGATTATTTTCAATTTTGTAGAATTGTCAACTGTGACTTTTGTTCTTTTCTGTGTTCATGTTTATGTTTACGGAACTGTTAGCTAGGCTAGACACATATCAAGATCCTACCATTTATGCATAAGAGTCTTTTATTTTAATTTTATTTTTCCTTTTTAGTTTTTTTTTTGCTCGACTTATGTTGTCTATTTTATGATGATTCCAGACCTCTGATCCGAATTATAGGAGATCAATTCCCATGGCAAGTGAAAAGTGCTATTTTTTCAACTTTGACCATCATAATAGCAAAAGGTGGGAGGGCACTTAAACCTTTTCTCCTACAGCCACAAACCACCTTTATCAAATTCTTGCAGGACAACCCAAGGTAAGACTTGTTTTATACTACTGTCTTTTGTTGATTATTCGACTTACAAGGGCATTCTCATCAATTTGCAGGAGTGTTCGTTCAAGTGCTGCTCTTGCAGTTGGTAAGCTTAGTGCACTAAGCACAAGAGTTGATCCCTTAGTTGGGGGTCTTCTATATAACCTACATGCATCAGAAGGTGGGGTCCGTGAGGCAATATTGGTCGCCCTAAAAGGTGTTGTCAAGCATGCTGGAAAGAGTGTTAGTGGTCCCGTTAAGACACGCGTTTTTGATCTCTCAAACGAGTTGATCTACAACGATGATGACCAAATACGAAGCTCTTCAGCAAGAATTCTAGGCATCATATAAGAGGTTCAGTTTAGTACATTCACTTGCATTTATAGCATCTGTTCCACCTCTGGGATTTACCACCTATGTAAATTCACAACAGCACCTGTCAACATTTGGTTGTGAGTGCAGGTGAAAAAGAAACGAGCTGGTCAGGATGGAAAAATAGATGGGCTGGTCCCTCCTCAAAGTAACCACATATGGTAACTCATATCGTGTCACTGGACCATCTGGTTGTGTATAAAAGCTCAATTGCACAGCCTCCTGTCACAATAATAAAATATAATAAAAAGATCTTAAGTTTTGTATGAAGAAACAATAGAAATTAGAAAAATTTATTACTACCTTGTCCAATTTTCTCTCAATGAACAACAATTGCAAACTTTAGTCACCCTTGGGCAGTTTTGCTGACTCCGGGTACACATCACCCATGGCGTACACACGCTATAATAATAAATGAATTAATAATTAAAAAATATGACATCTATAGAAAGGAAATGACTTGATTAAAAAATAAATATCCCCTTGTTCACATCAGCTCCTTCTTCCAACTTGAACTTATAAGTCAAAATCAACCCAGTGGACTATCTTAATTTGAAACAAAATTTGGTTGTTTAATGGGCTAAAATGTATAAAACTTTAGTGATATTGTATATTGAAACTGAGGTAAGTCATGTTTTCTTACTTGTACTCATTTCCCTATATTCTTTGCTGTTATATATTGAAAGCATATGACTTCTTTTGTTACTGTTATCTAAACCTTGTACTTATGAAATAGTTTGTAGTTCATTATTGAAATTCATTATTTACCATTTTATAAGGATAACCTTTTCAGTGATGTTATGATGTTTACATTAACATTCTTTATTTCTAGTGTGTGGTCTGCTGCACTTGAAGCACTAAATGCCTTTATAAGATTCTTTGTATATAAAGATGTTGTGAACAAGGGGATCTTGCTCCAACCAGTGCTATTATACCTTTCTCGGTACAACTGGAATCTAAAAGTGTTGATGCTTTTTTTTTATTTTCAAATCATAAGTATATATTTATTTGCTGATTTTTCAAACATAATGTATCATGAAAAACAGGGCATTAAACTTTATTTCCTCCTTAGCAACCAAGTTGCCTTATGTGAAAGCTTCTATGGACATATTCATCAGCAGAATATTGATAGCTTATGAGTCACTTTCCGATCCAAAAGCATACAAGAATGATCACCCACAACTTATTCAAATATGGTCAAGTACCTTAAGGTAAGAATATTTATGTGTGTTTGGCCTTATATGATGGATTTGGGGAACAGAGAGTCTTCCAAATATGAAGAAAGCTCCTACTTAAGGATACTTTTGGACAACAGAGATACTTGGTTAGGTCCTTGGATTCCTGGAAGGTATACACTTGTTACATATCAACTTTAGGGGGCGTTTGGTTTGTAGGATTTATCAAGAATTGGAATTCAATTCCTAATAATTTCTATGTTTGGTTGTATATAAGTAAGGATTTGAATTCAATTGTGAACTACAATCTGAAGGTTGAGCTTTTAAAGGAAGAAGCAGAGTTGGATGATTATTTGTTAGTTTTATAGGAATGTATAATTCATGTTTGCAATGTATATTAAATTTTATGCATTGGATTGTATTTTTTGTATATGATATTTTATTTCTGTTATGAGACATTAAATGCAAATGTAATTTAAAAATTAATAAATATATAAATATTTTTTTAGAACATTTAAAATTATGATATGCAAAAATGTGTGTCATCTTCATTTATGACATGGTCTTTCTTGACTGGGGCTTCCTTGATACGCATTGCGTGTCATAAACACGCGTGTGTAAGGTTACGACAGGCGAATGCGTGTCATCTTCCTTTATGACAGGGCCTTCCTTGATACGCATAAATGCGCGTCATAAATGCATGTTGTCTATAAACGATACAAAAAAGTGCCTACGAGTCGTAAATGCACGTCATAAATGCACGAAGACACTGATGGGAAGGGGCCAAGGAGGCTATAAGTGCCTATGAGTTGCTAAGCTAACTCGCCGAGTCAGCACTGTTAACAAAAACCCTAATTCTCTCGGGCCTGGGCCTATATAAAGGCACTTATAGCCTCCTTGGCCCCTTCCTATCAGTGTCTTCGTCCCTTGAGAGAAACCCTAGAGCTATTTGTGAGCTAAAGAGGAGAGAGAGGCTAATTGGAGGACATTTATTTGAGAAGAAGGTCAAGGGTGTTGCAAAGATGTCGGAGGAGGGTTGGTGGATCAGTTTGATCCTCTTTTCAAGCTTCAGATCTGGTACAAGCTCTTGTCTCCCTTGTGTTTGAGTAGATTTCCTTTGTTGTTTAAGTTAGGGCTTGTATCACCTGATTGATGGGTTTTTGGGTGTATCCAAACCCTTTTTCGAGTTATTTTGTAGATCTCGACTATGTAAGGTCCAGAGAACCTGAAAGTAGGCGGCCATGAAGGAGTAACCTTGGATCTTTGAAGCTATGAAGTTTCAATGGAGTCAAAATGATGTATAGAGGAAAATACACCGTGCATGAGCCTCAAGTTCAGACCTTTACATGACTTTTGGGTGCTAGAAGGCCAGATCTATAAGTTAGACAAAACAGATTTGACCTTAGAAGGTCGAATGAGCACGACTAGAAAAAAGGCCTTTTATAACGCTCATTGCGCGTCATAAAACGCTCAGACGACGCGCAAATGCGTGTCAGGGAAGGCCCCTGTCATAACGAGAGATGACGCACTTTTGTGTGTCATCTATAGACGACGCGCATTTACGATGTGCATTTATGATGCGCATTTACGATGCGCGGTTATGAAACACAATGTGTATCTAGGAAGGCCCTGTCATAAAGGAAGATGACACGCATTCGCCTGTTGTAACCTTACAACGGGCGTTTTTATGACACGCAATGCGTATCAAGGAAGCCCCAGTCAAGAAAGGCCATGTCATAAATGAAGATGACACACATTTTTGCGTATCATAATTTTAAATGTTCTAAAAAAAATATTTATATATTAATTAATTTTTAAATTACATTTGCATTTAATGTCTCATAACAGAAATAAAATATCATATACAAAAAATACAATCCATTGCATAAAAATTTAATGTACATTGCTAACATGGATTATACATTCCTATAAAACTAACAAATAATCATCCAACTATGTTTCTTCCTTTAAAAGCTCAACCTTCAGATTGTAGTTCACAATTGAATTCAAATCCTTACTTATATACAACCAAACACAGAAATTATTCGGAATTGAATTCCAATTCTTGATAAATCCTACAAACCAAACACTCCCTAAAGTTGATATGTAACAAGTATACCTTCCAGGAATCCAAGGACCTAACGAAGCATCTCTATTGTCCAAAAGTATCCTTAAGTAGGAGCTTTCTTCATATTTGGAAGACTCTTTGTTCCCCAAATCCAACATATAAGGCCAAACACACATAAATATTCTTACCTGAAGGTACTTCACCATATCTGAATAAGTTGTGGGTGATCATTCTTGTATGCTTTTGGATCGGAAAGTGATTGAAAAGCTATCAATATTCTGCTGATCAATATGTCCATAGAAGCTTTCACATAAGGCAACTTGGTTGATAAGGAGGAAATAAAGTTTAATGCCTTGTTTTTCATGATACATTATGTTTGAAAAATCAGCAAATAAATATATAATTATGATTTGAAAATAAAAAAAAGCATCAACACTTTTAGATTCCAGTTGTACCGAGAAAGGTATAATAGCACTGGTTGGAGCAAGATCCCTTTGTTCACAGCATCTTTATATACAAAGAATCTTATAAAGGCATTTAGTGCTTCAAGTGCAGCAGACCACACACTAGAAATAAAGAATGTTAATGTAAACATCATAACATCACTGAAAAGGTTATCCTTATAAAATGGTAAATAATGAATTTCAATAATGAACTACAAACTATTTCATAAGTACAAGGTTTAGATAACAGTAACAAAAGAAGTCATATGCTTTCAATATATAATGGCAAAGAATATAGGGAAATGAGTACAAGTAAGAAAACATGACTTACCTCAGTTTCCATATACAATATCACTAAAGTTTTATACATTTTAGCCCATTAAACAACAAAATTTTGTTTCAAATTAAGACAGTCCACTGGGTTGACTTTGAGTTATAAGTTCAAGTTGGAAGAAGGAGCTGATGTGAACAAGGGGATCTTTATTTTTTAATCAAGTCATTTCCTTGCTATAGATGTCATATTTTTTAATTATTAATTTATTTATTATTACAGCGTGTGTACGCCATGGGTGATGTGTACCCGGAGTCGGTAAAACTGCCCAAGGGTGACTACAGTTTGCAATTGCTGTTCATTGAGAGAAAATTGGACAAGGTAGTAATAAATTTGTCTAATTTCTATTGTTTCTTCATACAAAACTTAAGATCTTTTTATTATATTTTATTATTATGGCAGGATGCTGTGCAATTGAGCTTTTATGCATAACCAGATGGTCCAGTGACATGACATAAGTTACCATATGTGGTTACTTTGAGGAGTGAACAGCACATCTATTTTTCCATCCCGACCAACTCGTTTCTTTTTCACCTGCACTCACAACCAAATGTTGACAGGTGCTGTTGTGAAATTACATAGGTGGTAAATCCCAGAGGTGGAACAGATGCTTTAAATGAAAGTGAATGTACCAAACTAAACCTCTGATATGATGCCTAGAATTCTTGTTGAAGAGCTTTGTATTTGGTCATCATCGTTGTAGATCAACTCGTTTGAGAGATCAAAAACATGTGTCTTAGCGGGACCACTAACACTCTTTCCAACATGCTTGACAACACCTTTTAGGGCCACCAATATTGCCTCACGGACCCCACCTTCTGATGCATGTAGGTTAGATAGAAGACCCCCAACTAGGGGATCAACTCTTGTGCTTAGTGCACTAAGCTTACCAAGTGCAAGAGCAGCACTTGAATGAACACTCCTGCAAATTGACGAGAATGCCCTTGTAAGTCGAATAATCAACAAAAGACAGTAGTATAAAACAAGTCTTACCTTGGGTTGTCCTGCAAGAATTTGACAAAGGTTGTTTGTGGCTGTAGGAGAAAAGGTTTAAGTGCCATCCCACCTTTTTCTATTATGATGGTCAAAGTTGACAAAATAGCACTTTTCACTTGCCATGGTAATTGATCGCCTATAATTTGGATCAGGGTTCTGGAATCATCATAAAATAGACAACACAAGTCGAGCAAAAAAAAAACTAAAAAGGAAAAATAGAATTAAAATAAAAGACTCTTATGCATAAATGGTAGGATCTTGATATGTGTCTAGCCTAGCTAACAGTTCCGTAAACATAAACATGAACACAGAAAAGAACAAAAGTCACAGTTGACAATTCTACAAAATTGAAAATAATTTTGACTCTGATGTTCAAACAACTCCTAAATAATAAATAAATAAATAAAAATAAATAAAATAAAACTAAAAAAATGATATTACAAAATTTAATTTGGAAAAACCAGAACATCTTGTTCTAAATGAAAAAGTGAAGGCTGATAAACACCTTGTAATACACAAAATTTAATTTGGAAAAACTAAGATGTCAGTTCCTTATATGTAAGCTAGAAACACTGGATTCATGTAAGTTACCAAATCTTGAACTAAAGTGTTAAGGAAATCATCCTTGATTTTCTTCCCCTGTAATAGATAAGGGATGTAATTCTTGAAAATCTTGCATATTGGAAAGGAAGAAAGTTACCAAATGTATAATAAAAGATCAAAGTTTAACATCAACTATCAAACAACACCTATCAAACATGATCTGCTCATTCTTCTCAAGCTCCAAATACATGTTCATGTCCAAACATCCATCATGGCTTTTGCTTTTGCTTTCCCTTCTATTCGTTGAATCAACACTTTTATTATGTAGAGGTGGGTCCCAACTTCCATGGCTGCTGCTGTTGCCCTGTTGTTCTTGGATCAATTCCAAATCCTGCACCATATAATCCAAAGTTGAAAATTCAGTGGTACAGGGTTGAACATTTAAAAAAGGTGATTCATGTGTTTTACACAAACTAACAAGAGATGATGAATAATTTAATTACCTGAGATGGGTCCCATAGTTTTGGAGTCTATATTATTGGAGTCGAAGGAACAACATCAGTGTCATCCTATTTCAACCAAGGTAGATTAACGTATTCCATTTCAATAGGAAGATACTTCATACTATGAAACTACTTAAAAACAAAGTCTGGGGTTTTGAAATTGCATATTGTCGAGATTACCCCTGAGCACGAGCCACCATTGTTAGAAGAAGTGGAAGAAGAAAAGCTGGTTGAGATCGAGAGTATTGAAGTAGAAAACAATGGGTCCCATTCCGATTTCAAAAGTGAACAAAAACCGGAAAAGGTAGCCAAAAAATACCTGATGATCCAGAGTTGAAAGAAGTTGAAATGGACGATTGGTTGTTTGAATTCAGTCAGTTATTCCCGAACCCACATCGGAATCGACCCAGATGCTCATATCGACTTACACGAGATCGGAATGGAATTGTGTTCCAAAGCTTTGGAAGAAACCGTAACAAATGAAGAAGCTCAAACTCTATTCGACAAAGCGGATTCAAAGTTCCAAGAAGTGGTGGCTTCAAAGTTCCAAGAAGATGCTCTGCTGTAATGGTTGATTTTAACCTGGATACGGTAAGAAATTAGAACATGTCAAAGGAGTACGGGTTGATTTTTTTCATCTAGGCTTCCGGTGTACAAAATCGCGATTTGCTCCCAAATTAAACACAAAATAGGTTCATTAGCAGCGATCAAAAAGAGATAAGCCCAGGTCACATGTGAGATGACATAGATTGGTAATGGTGGAGGCGGATTAGGGTTTACAAAGAAAAGGAGAAGGAGAGAGTGAAGGTTGTCGGTTGGTGGCGTGCTCGATCGACGTTGATAATTAGCGAAAAGAGGGAAAGGAGGAAAAAGGGAGGCGGGCTTTTTAATTTTTTTAGGATATCATTCCCCCTCCCCCAACTATTAAAGGATGGAACGCGCGTTTCCATTAAAATTTATAAAGCGACATCTTCAGACGACACACATTTTATTATAGGCGGCCTCCGTGTTTTTTTACGCTAATTTTAAGGCACGCAAAAATGCGCGTTATAAATCCTTAAAATTTATAGAGAGATGACGTTATTTTTAGGTCACACACTTTTACGTATCGTACATCGATGCGTATCATAAATTGCGCGTCGTAAAAGGCTGTTTTTCTTGTAGTGGAGTGTTGCCATGGAGGAAACACGCCGAGTCCATAAGGGGAAATCGATAAGTCGGATCGGGTTGCCCTACGATTCATGACTAGTTGTAACTCGTCGAGTGGAAGGTTCACACAATGAGTTGAGTGAGGCTTTAGAAGGATGCAGAGGACACACTTGGACTCGCCGAATTACCCATGTGCACTCGATGAGTCTGATCAAAGTTTGACCGTTAACTAGAGTTGACTTTATTTGAACTTGGGGTTTTTGTCAAGATGATTCAAGAGAGTTAAGAGAGGGGTAGAATGGTCTTCTACCCATTATTAGAGATGAGAACATGAGAGGATTTTGATTAGAGATGTTATCCTACTGATAGGAGGAGGCTAGGTCGGGATATTCAAGCACAATATTTTATCTGACTTCATAAGAGGTGAGTCTTCTCACTATACTCTACCTAGAGTGGTAATTATATGTGACCGAAAGGTGTTATATGCTATGCAGAGTATGTGATATATGTTGATTTGTGATATGTATGTGTTTTGTTATGTTATGAGTAGCATGGAATGGACTAGAATATCAACAGGGTATGGACCAGAAGGTCAAGATGAGACGGACCGAAAGATCGATGAGGAGGACCAGAAGGTCATTACGAGTAGGACCGAAAGGTCTACCAGGGTTGGGATGGAAGTCCCGTGAGACACATGGATCGGAAGGTCCCATAGAGTTATGGCCTTGAGTGGCGTATATGTTTTATGTGCTATTTTAGCGAGCTCACTAAGCGTTTATGCTTACCGTGTTATGTGATATGTGTTTCCGGTACTAGCGAGGATCGTGGGAAGGCTCCACATTAATCTGTACACACTGATGAAGATTTATGTACTTGAGATTTTGGGGTTGTTTATTGAGATAATATGTGATATAATAGGTTTTGAAATTCTTCTTATGAAAATTATTATGATTAAAGATGAAAAAAGATTGTTTTGGAAATTCACGTTGTGACATATGAGGTCATCAACTCCTTTTGGAAACGTTAGAATCGGTGCCTCGCACAACCGCTTCCTGAGAGTCTCGAAAGTTGCCTGGTACTCAAGTCCCTAGTAGAAAACCACCGACTTCTTGGTTAGTCAGGTCAAAGGAACTGCAATCTTGGAGTAGTCCTGAATGAATCTCCAGTAATAACCCGCTAGACCCATGAGACTCCGAATCTAATTTGGAGACCTCCAAATCTCCCACTGCATCATGGCCTCTATCTTGGTTGGATCAACCAGAATACCCTTATGGTTGAAAATATGACAAAGAAACTACACCTTGCGCGACCAGATCTCGCACTTGGAGAACTCCGCATAAAGTATCTCCCTCCTTAGTGTCTCCAGCACTTCCCTCAGGTGCTCCTCATGCTGCTCCTGAGTCTTGGAGTAAACAAAGGTGTCATCAATGCAAACTATTACAGACCGATCCAACATCATTCTACACATGCGGTTCATGAGGTACACCAACACGGTTGGAGCATTGGTAAGCATAAAAGGCATCACCACAAACTCATAATGACCATAGCGAGTCCTAAAAGTTGTCTTCTGCACATCATCGTCCCTGAATCGGATCTAGTGATACCCTAACCGTAGATCAATCTTGGAGAACCACGATGCACCCTGAAGAAAAAAATCATCTATCCTTGGAAGTGGGTAACGGTTCTTCACCGTTGCCTTGTTCAGCTCCTGCTAGTCTATACACATGCGATGTGACCCGTCCTTCTTCTTAAAAAACAAGATTGAGGCTCCCCATGGCAAACTGCTCGGCCTGATAAATCCCTTGTCTAGTAGCTCTTGCAGCTACATAGATAACTCCTGTATCTCGGGAGGAGCCAACCAATATGGTGTGTTGGCTATCAGAATCTCCCCGAGGACTAGGTCAATCCTAAACTCAACCTGTCTCTCTTGAGGTATCCCAAGTAAATCCTCAGGGAATACGTCTGGGTACTCTCGCACTACCAATACGTTATCAACTGTCACCTTACCCTTATCTCGAGTATCCATGACATAAAAGACGTAACCTGCACAACCCTACTGGAGATAGCGTCTCACTCTCGCTGTTGAACATAGATTTAATCCACCCAACGACCTCTCGCCCTGAATCACTAACCCTCCCCTACTAGGAGTGCTAACCCTTGCAGCTTACAGTCAATCACTGCCCCATTGGGGCTCAACCAATCCATATCGATGATGACCTTGTTCCTTCATAAGGGACTAGGAACCAAATCCACTGGGAACTACTAATTGAATAATTGTAGAGTACATCCTTGGTGAACCCTTGCAACCCTGACGGTACTATCATCTACTATCTCTACAACTACTGGGTAATCTAGCTCCCTAGGAGCCCCTAAGAATTGCTTGTTGAGCGTGAGCGAAAAAAAAAAAATAAGAATGGCTGACACCCATCACCACGTTGGGAGGTGCTCATGCCTCACTGGCTTTCAACTGAAAGGCCCTGCTCTTCGCCACAGGCGCCTCACCCCAGCCCTAACCATCGTCAGTAATCCTCAATATAGTAGGGGCGGGTGCTGCCACCTGTCCTACAGTTGCTAAACTCGAGAATTGGGACCGCTTGTGTCCCCTCTGATTGCACTGGAAGAAAATCAGATCTAATACTATCGTGGTAGTGGTAGTAGATATACAATCTCTGCTGATATGCCCAGTTCGGCCGCATTTAACGCAACCTGAACTCCCTGCCTTGCACGGCCCCTCGTGCAACTTTCCGCATTTGCCACAATGATTGCGGGTCTACTGGCTCCTAGGTCTATGGTTTGATACCATGGGCTTCTTGCCCGAACTCCCTGATTGAACCCCCTCGGGTTTCCTCTTCCTCTCCATCTCTATGACATCCCCAATTTTCTCGGCCAGAAAAGATGGATTTAGTTTATGCTTTTAAAATAAAATCAAACTAATTTTCCAAATTATGTTGCGGAATTTGTTCCTAAAAAGAATATAATAAAAATTTAACCAACCATTTCTTAAAGAAATAAATATTTTCATTATATATCAAAAACATCGGGATGTCATGTTTGGAAACAGACCAAAAGCATATAAACAGTAAATTATAAGCCTTACAACATATATTTACAACTATTAGCTTATAATTCAAAAATCCCTCTTCAACCTCTAAACTACGGTCGGGGTCTACTACTTGTAATACCGAAAACTGAGTGGGTCATGCTCGGGAGTCTGGTGAGCATATAGGGTTTTCAACCCACAAATAATAAATTTATTAATTTTCATCAACCAAAAATAAATTTATTAATTTCATCACCGAAAAATAAATTTATCAATCCAAAATAAATATATTAATTTTATCAACCAATAATAACCTTGATTACCCATTTTCTTTATCCTTAGTTTACATCCCTAAACACCTATCACAAGGAACCTAATCTAAGGATTTTCATCGGGGTGGCAACATTGCTTTAGGGGATTCCTCAGCAATTTATGTCAAATAAGGAAACTGATGAGATTAAAGTTTCTTTTAATCTATGAAGATCGATTAGATCTTGAACAAGTAAATAAACAATGACGGTATAAACACAGTAAAATAATAGAACAAGATTGAATCAAACGAGTCGAATGATTAAAACAAAATCCTCAGAAGAGCTCGATTAAGAACATCAACTGTAGAGGATTGGAAGGTTACAAGTATGATCAAATAAACCTTTAATCGTCTGGAAAATATCGTATTCTCAGATCTCTAAAACCTTAACCTAATATGCATGCAAGCATAAGCTTATATACAAAGCATAAAAGACACACGGTTGGACAGGCCCAAACCGTAATACAAAATATTATAAACAAACGAGCCCAAAAGACGCAATCTTTTAAGCCCAACAATCTCCCCCTTTGCGTCAATTTGGAGCGAGATCTTTATTTATTACTTGGGCCAGCAGCCGAAACTGGTACCTTCTTCACGGTACTAAACAGACACTTGGTGATGGAAAGAATTGTCTGTCTAAACCGGATGTACCATTTGATCATATCTTCAAAATATTTAACATCATCAGCCGAATTCTCTTTACACCGTTTAACAATAAAAAGCACATGCTCCAAGCAAGTTGTGGTGTAAAGATGCTTATCAGCTAAAGCGAAGAGACATTTTTGTCCTTCCGCTCTAGTGAACATAACTGTGTTACGTCTCGGATCAATCTTGCCCAGCTGCATTCGATTTAGATCACTGGCCGATCCCACAGGAGCAATTTTGGGTTTCTTCTTGAAGACTGTGGCGACCTCCTGATCCATAAGGGCAACCTCCATGATATAGCAGATTAACATCCTTTTGACATGGTCTAGAATGGGACCATGTTCAGCTTCATTGGTCAAAAGGATGTTATACAAGACGATCCAATCATGAGGATTTAGATTCGGTAGCTCTGCTAGAGAGATGA